TATATTTTTTTTTTTTATTTTTTTTACCTTTTTGTGTTTCTCTGTTTGGTTCGGTTTTTTGTTTATGAAAATCAAAAAAATTTTATGTGGAAAAAAAACTGTGGATTTCCCCCCCCCCCCCCCCCGGGGGGCCCCCTTTCCAAGTTTTTGAAAATCCTTTTTCCACCCCTTCCCCCCCCCCCCCCCCCCCTTATTTCAACAATTGCTTGCTTGCTCATGCTCTCAAAATTTTTGCAATTGCTGGCATGCTTGCGTTCTTGTCAATATTGCTCGAAATTTTGTAAATCCCTGCGTCTTTGTTTCGAAATAAATGTGATTCTGCATTGCACTTATGTTAAGTTCTATAAACAATTAATGCGGTTATCAAGTTCAGTGGAAATGCACGAGATAAATTTTAAGTTAAAACGCCGTTCACTATTTTCTGTTTAAATATTTTAAAGGGACGGATTTTCATATGGATTGCTTCAGGTGAAAGTATAAGAAGTGCTCGCTCTTCGAGAGTTGTACTTTCTAAAATACTCGTTGCTCGCAAGGCCAATGTTTATCTCTGCTCGTGCTCTAAAAAAGTCACAGTACTCGCACGCTCGCGAATGTTCGAAAAGACCATTAGTTATCCCTATTAAGGAAAGTTTAACTTTCCCGTACGCTCCTCATGGAAGTGCTTTTTTGGCACTGGTAGTGGTAACCTAATTTTTTCTGAGCAGAAACCTAGCGGAGAAAGAATCGGTAAACGTTTCAATAGTCAGCTTTGAATGATTCTGTCTTAATTCAGTCCCTTAAGACCCCAGTTAGGTTTTGACCCTTTCACTGCCAAACTTAGCCAAAAGAAACATTTGACCAGATGTCCAAATTTCATTTTGTGAAATTTTGAAAAACAAATAGCACCATGTGTAAGTACAGGTAGAGAGCTTTCATGTGAATGGTCACATCATAGGATTTCGTCCACAGACTTAAAAGTTAGAGTTACCTTACAAGACTCCATCAAGCACTCTGGCAGTGAAAGGGTTAATTAAGGGTATTGTTATTGATGTTAGGGAGCTTAAGCAACAACGACGGCGACGGCTACAAAAACTTCACCAAAAATGTGAAGTCGCGCTTCTTCAAACTTTATCGCGCTTTCGCTCTCTCGTTTAATTCGTCAAACGTCGCCTTTTTTTTCTGCAGTTGAATTTTTAAAGACTGTATCAAAGTTCAGGAAAAGAAAAGCAAGGTCGTTGTCTTGTGTTCACGTCCTCCACAAAACGTGAAATTTGTCATTTTCACGACGTATAGTCGGGCAGTGACGGCAAAGAAACGTACAAAAGAGCGCGATGCACGAGCAAATTTTTTTTTGCCAATCTAAATCTATTGCTCTTTCACCGTTCTCGTTGGCGTCGCCGTCGTCGTTGCTTAAGCTCCCTATTATCGTTTCCGGATGCAAACCAGATCCTCCTTTATTACGGTCTCCTAGTTGTTGCTGTTATAATTATTATCTATTATTATTTTTTATTTGCAGGATTATATTTCTATGTTGAAACTTATCGTCATTCATCTGGTGATAATGCAAAGCTGACATTTGCGTTACCTAGAAATAAATCGTCATACTGCTTAACATTCTACTATTACATGTACGGATCAGGAATGGAAACTCTAAATGTTTACAGTGGAAATAATAAAATATTCACCAAGTCAGGAAATCAGGGTAACTACTGGAAAAGGGCCATCCGGACAGTATACCTCAGTGATATGGTAAATGTGTAAACGGATCATGTTGAGTATTAAACCTCTGATCTCCCGTATTTTGCATCTTCCGGCTCCAGCTTCTCTTCCTCAACTCCTTCCCTTCGGAAGAGTTTGGCGGTTGGGGCAGGATTGTCAGGGAGGTCCGTACCGCCCATTACGATTCCAATTCATTTTGAACTCCATCTGCTCGCCCTTTCTTCTCTCGTTTCTCGTACCTCGTCCGCCTCTTATTTCTCCGGCTCCGCCTCTTATTGCTCCTTTCCTTCACCACTTTATTGGTGAAGAAAATAATATAAAATCGATGGTAGTTAATCTGTGGTTTCTTGGCTATTATAAAAATAATTTATTGTGTCATAGGTGACGTTTGAAGGAATAAAGGGAACACCGTCTCAAATTGACATTGCAATCGATGATGTGTCAGTTGTGGACGGAAGCTGTCCAGGTTAGAAAATAGTCAGAGAAGTAGCTGGTCAAAACTTTTTTGGTAGTTTAAGTTTGCCTATCCAAGGGAATTGAAGGTTTTCAATTTTTTCGTCTGAATGATTTTTGCTGGAGCAAACATGGATAAAGGATCATATATTTGCTACTTCCTTC